ATACAAATGACGATACTTGCATGTGCTCTTATCGGCCAGGTGCATAAGCCATCTTTTTCATAGACAGGATGGCCAAATACATTTGTACCTGGCACACTTACGATTTACAGTTGGCAGTGTCAAGTATGGCACAATGGATGAAAATATTTACGTTTTCACTACTTATTTTACTAGTAATTAGTGTTTTGTGTAACATTTATTTAAGAATACAGTTAAGGTTAGAACAGATACTTTTTTACTTTTTTTGTGTTATTGTGAGTAAAAAAATCATGATGCATCTGTGTGTCATCCCAATACTACAAACCAAGCAGACCATTATTTTGAAAGAGAAACCACAAACATTGGCCACATACCCGGCCGAAACTTAATCTGTTTTGACATTATACAAGATGGAATTCCAGACATTGTCCCATCCTGTCCCATCCATTGTTTAGCATCTCCATTTGTCATGTATGGCTGTATGTTTGTGAATCCCCAGAAAGAAAATGAAGAGATTGATAGTGTAGGTGTGGAATGTGTCCTGGTCGTGATATTGTGCGTAGAACATTTTATTTAGATTTACTGAGTCAGGTTGGAGGATTGGTTGCCTTGCGTTGTGAATGAACGCATTACAGCAGAGGTGATCATGTGACTGATTACGCCATGCAGTGCCCGGCCCAGTGTAGTGAGATGTTAATGTGAAATTACCAAAAAGGAAGAAGCTGTTTACGTTTCTGAGATTAGATCAGATGATATTGAGTCATGCTCAAGCTGGGATTTTTACATTAAACAAGTTTGCAACACAAACCTGAGAGTTGGGAGTACTGAAAGAGTTGAAGTAAGTGTATTCGATATTTTATTTTGCCTTAGGCTCGGAGAATTTTGTTGAAGGGACAGACACTGTTCATTGATTCATTCCTTTGTTCATTTGATCATTAATTCTTTCTTTCAAGGGCGGTCGGGTAGCCTAGTGGTTAAAGCGTTCGCTCGTCATGCTGAAGACCCGGGTTCGAATCCTGACATGGGTACAATGTGTGAAGCCCATTTCTGGTGTCCCCCGCCGTGATATTGCTGGAATATTGCTAAAAACGGCATAAAACCATACTCACTCACTTATTCCCAACAGCTTCTGACCATCATCTGTACCCCAAACCATCAAGTCCCAAGACTGGGGGATAACTGAGACATCAACAGACACTGTTTAAAGCCTCAGCACTCACTCACTCACTCACTCACTCTTTCTTTCATTCATCGTCTGATAATCAATTCATCTTATCATTCATCTTATTCATCATCTGAACAATCATACTTCTGATCATTCATTCAGCAATTAAATTATTATAGTAATAATATTATCATCATCACCTTTCAACCGTATCAAATGACAATTAATTTGCAAGTTTCTTAAGACTTAAGTGGTCATCCTGATGTCAATGCATTCATAATGGAAGCGATCTGTTCGATCGTAATCTCAGTGCATTATGGGAGTGATCTGTTAGAACGTAATCTCAGTGCATTATGGGAGCGATCTGTTAGAACGTAATCTCTGTCAGTCAGTATCAGCATGTGAGGTCACAAGCGATTGTTGCGTTGATTGGTCATGTTTGTGAGTGACATCCAGCTGTTTGATGTTCGCGTCAATATCTGTCAACGACGTTGTACTGTCATTAATACCATAAATAGACCAGATGGAGGGCTACATATATCAGACAGATATGAGTGTGAGTGAAAATGTACTGAGTTGTCATCAGTTTGTTTAGTCTAAAAAGATATATTGTCACTGTGATATCAGGATGTAATTATAAATTCTTATTTCATTATTTACAAAGACGGATAGTTAATACTTACAATATCAAGTCTTTGAAATTCAATATTATGTTATTGCTAAAAGCAGCGTAAAACCATACTCACTCACTCACTCACTCACTCACTCACTCACTCAATAATCTCAGAGGAAAGAAACTGATAATATAGTTTTGAAGTTGTGGATGGTATATTTGGTATTCTCAACATATTGCAACTTTTGTCCAAATAATTTTTTGCCAAATTAAATATTTTGAATTGCACAAGTTTATTGTTATCTCTATTTCAACCTAGTCTCTTGTAAATAGGTTTGCTACAACAAAACTTCATTCTTAATTGAAAGGGTCTGATAATTGTAAGATATCCTGGTTTACACCTGAGTAGATTGTCTCCACACTGATGTCTCCCTCATCTTACTATTGTTGCAGGGGCGGTCGGGTAGCCTAGTGGTTAAAGCGTTCGCTCGTCACGCCGACGACCCGGGTTCGATTCCCGACATGGGTACAATGTGTGAAGCCCATTTCTGGTGTCCCCCGCCGTGATATTGCTGGAATATTGCTAAAAGCGGCGTAAAACCATACTCACTCACTCACTATTGTTGCATGGACTGGTTCTCAGTGGAATGTGTCGTGACATATTTAAGAGGACAAATTCCTGTTCCTATCTGTTCTGAGAAACCTATTTTTACCTTCTAATCAAGTTGGTATTTCCTATTATTTATGCTTAATGTCTTGGCTCGGGATGGGAATTATTTCCTTGCAAGTAGAATTTAATTTAAATAAATACAAAATGCTGAAAGATTTACTGTTTGTATCAAATGAGAGGGGGAGAATCAGTCACCTACTCTGTCATAGTTTGTAATACAGACCCTGAAACAGCTATATCCAGTTAAGCCAATACATGTCTATATCAGTGGGCTCGTTTTTATTCTGTTTGTATTAAGATAAATTAACAACTGTTTTTTCTGTATTATGTCCATTTCAGGGACTAGATATTAGCCTAGAATTGTTAATTTGTCTCAGTTAAGCTGTGATGGTACATGTCTATACCTTGTAAACCTAGGCTGCTATTTCTGATACTAAAGGACTGAGTGAGTGGTTTGGCTGTTACGCACCATTTTGCAATATTCCATCAAAATCACGACGGAAGCACTCCAGAAATGGTCTTCACACATTGTCCCCATGTGCGGAATTGAACCTGATCCATCGGGGACAGGCGAACACTGTAACAGTGGGGCTACCACCACCCCTCATGTATCAAGGAAGCAGAAGGGACACACACCAAAGTTTACTCTGTGGAGGGGCGGTCGGGTAGCCTAGTGGTTTAAGCATTCGCTCGTCACGTCGAAGACCCGGGTTCGATTCCCGACATGGGTACAATGTGTGAAGCCCATTTCTGGTGTCCCCCGCCGTGATATTGCTGGAATATTGCTAAAAGCGGCGTAAAACCATACTCACTCACTCACTCAATTACTCTGTGGAATTTAGCATTCCGTCTATATTGGACGGAGCGAATAACGGCAGGCATGGGTCAACTGGCGTACGGAGCTTGTGTTTACCTGGCTGTGTACTACACAAACACAACACGCAAAGGCTGTGCTATCATGACAGACAGTTCACATCTGCACACTTCACATCACCTTCACTTCAAGAATAGCAATGAGTCCAAGATCTGACGAGCCCGAGCTGTAACTTTGTCGGAAGTATTTTGTCACTGTGTGGGCTCCCATGGCCATCCTTTGTTATTTGTGTGCAGGAATTTGTCCTTAATTCATTTGAGAGCGAAAATAATTGGTGTGACAAAACACAAGGTTGAAGTACTTGAAACATTACAACAACTGAAGGCTGTCGTTTACATGCACGTTTGTTAGTTTGAGTGTAATTAGGAACAGTTTGATTGGATGATGATTATTTCACTCCAAGTGTGACTCCAAGGCAAGGAGGTGGATGTTAGTTTGAATTTGTAAATCGACCAAGAACCATTTATGTGACACAGTTTAACCTGTGTTCAGTATTAGTCAGTGGTTACTCGTGTACTACAGAACCCAGATATTGATTGGCGGACTTCGTATCTCAGTGAGAGTGGGTAGGTTCTGTCTGTCATTTTGTTGTTTGTTGTTTAGCACTGCACTCAGCAATATTCTGGCTATGTGACGGTAGTCTGTAAATGATGGAATCTGGACCAGACTATCCAGTGATTGACATCATGAGCATCGATCTACGCGATAGGGATATGATGACATACATCAACCAAGTCAGCGAGCCTGACTACCTGATCCCGTTAGTCGCCTTTTATGATAAGCATGGGTTGCTGTTTGTGTGAGTTCTGTGTAGTTATGTCTCGTGGGGATAGAATTATTTGCATCTGTGGTAAGAATAGTTCCCTAGCATGGTCAAACAAGGAGACTCATTGGACAGGGTGGTCAAGCTTGAAGTCATCGTACCCTGATAATGTGTAGATGATCACAATATCAATCACTGGATGCTCGGATCGGGATTGATTATTTACAAGCACTTTATATAGCTGGAATATTGCTGTGTGTTAAACAACTAACAAGAACATTTGATAGAGAATATCAGGGAAGCATTATTTATGATATTCATATCTACACTGTCTTCCAGAAAATTAACAAAAACAAAGCACAGCTAGCAACAAGCACTTGTTCAATTGTCTGATCCAAATTTCATATCCATGACAAGCAGAAATTACTTATATTCTGAACTCTTTTCATGTCTATCATCATGATGTTTAATATTAGATACATATCCTCGATATCAGTACACTAAGGTCAAGTGACAAAGTTACAATGCGTTTCAGTGAAATAATTCATTCTTTCCCTTGTTTAGATGCATGTGTGTATATATTTCTGTAACAGTTCCAGCCTAGTTACAGTGTACTACAATGTCCTATTGATCAATGGAAAAAGTTCAAATCAATCTGAAATTTGATATCGCGCAGATATATTCAACAAAACTGTCAACAATAGGACGAAATATCATGTTCTCTGTGACCTGTATGGGATTAATAATAAGTGCAGATTGATTTTCTGATCAATACCTGGTGAACTCTGTCAAGAGAGGATCTTGTCAGTCATAACAGATTAGCTGTTTTGCCACAAGCCTCACAACCACTGGTCAACTCAGCTCTCAGACCCTGGCCAAGTTCTGACCGGTCAGGTGGATCTTGGATGAACTAAGACCTCAGTATGAACAACCGCTGCTGGCTGACTAACGTGTTTAGCATGTGGGCGGAGATCCTTCGTGGACCGTAAACTGGGTCATACAAGCCTTCACGAAGAGATTCCAGTGGTTACGAGTTGCTATTTCCTGATTGTTCTATATATACCCTGTGGTATACCCTCGTATCACACGTGTGATAACCACCCTATGTTGTAAGGGTGGTGTTTGTGTTGGTTAGTCATACTCAGAGATTCAAGTGGATGTATTGCTTCATTCTGGAGTTTATCGACGTACGTAACTCAGCGTGTTGATATGTAAACAATCGTGACTGGGAGCCTTGCAAAGGCCAGGAGATAATGGTCAACAAAGGCAGCCGCTATTCAGCCTGGGTAATTGACTTGAATGGGCTAGGTATTTGAGTCATTCACTGGGTATAAACACAACCACGGAATATTGGACAGGTAGTTTTCAATTGGAAGTGTGATCATTCACTACACACTACAGGTAGATATAATTTTAATAATATTCAGTTTCACAATTTTGAACATATTGTATTTGACATTTAAAATGACAAATTACATTTATTATGATATTAATATCATGTTAAATATATTATATTTATACTTTTATATATATTTATATAAATATTTTAATATATTTGTAATATATTTGTAATATCTATAATATTATTAGGTGAGTCATATATATACTTCTAAATATAGATATATATATATATAATTTGTTATATGATGGATTAGGTGAGTCATATAGATATACCTCTATATATTCTTTAAGTGACTGTATGACATGAATTAATATTATGTTAGTTTATCATTTTTATGGTTTTATATATACTTTTTATGAATAATTATGAAATATTAGAAATAGTCAACAGTTCAAGTCTTTGAAAGGTGTAATTTAGAAGTGATACACATAAGGAAGAGAATTTGAGGATGTCAAATTCTTTTTTATGAAGAACACAGTGTTTCAGAGTATATACTTCTTTTATCAGTATAGACTGACATCCTTAAATTCTCTTCCTCAGTCAACAGTTATTCGAGCCTTTTGTGTCATATGGCGATTAAAATGTGCAATATAATGTTGAATATCTGTTGGTATGTTGTAATAATTCTGAGTAACATGTTCAAAGTCTTATTAAGATGGGAAGGGTATTGTGAACCTAATGAGTGGGGTACCTATAGAAAGGAGGACACAAGTGCGACTAAGGAATGTGCGTTACCTGCCCAGCCTGTGTGCAAGTGCGTGGTGCAGCTTGTTTGTGCATTAATGTTGGAGGAGTGACAGCAGTGTGTGCAGGGAGGGGCTTTCAATACTTAATCAATACCTCTGTAAAAAGATGACTTAAGCCGTGTCGTAGTTGAATATTTGTGATACTTTTTAGGCATCAGGAGTTCTTTGCATTTCCCTGAAGCAAAACAATCATTGAAAGCCAGGTAGAGATTGAGAGAGGAAACGAGACAGCCAGTCTCAATAATCAGGTTTTTAACAAGTTGTGTGTTGTCGTCCTCGTCATTACTTATTGACGGCAGGTGTGTGTGGTAAGTGTTATACACAACCTCAGGGATAGTTCTAGTTCGGGCCTTGCCCTAAATTTGAAAAAAGGCCTACATTTTCAAATACTGTGGGGCATATTAACATTGTGCTGTATGGGCAAGTGTGGTGTTCCTCAAGAATATTTGAAATTTTCACATCAAGGGCACATGTCAGAAAATTCCCAGAGTGAAGCCTGCAACCTTGCAGGTAACATGTTATTCATGTACCCAGTAATATGTACCAGAAAATACTGGTAAAAAGTGTCCCTCTCCCTCCACCCTTTCTGAGAAGTTTAGTCATTTAATGTCCTGAGAAAATGTGCTGTTGGTGCTACACGGCAATGATGGAGTAGTCTGTCTCTATATATAAAAATCCTCCATTTACCATTAAATTGACTTCCGGTAAGCATCAGAATTGTTGTCGGAATAAATATCAGAATACTCTTCATAATGAACATCAGAAGTAAAACCAGAATTATTCTCAGAAATAACGTTGTATGTATGAGTCGTGTCCGACTATAGGAGAAGTGAGGGACACTGTTGCCCAGTTGTCAACTCTGCTGTACTGTTGATTGGAGGTATTTTCAATATTGATAGAGAATAGGGCGCACACACTGCCAGCCAGCCTATGTATCTTGAATTAGGCTGAGCAAGCACCTGCTCATAGGCCCTAATCAACTGTCAATATGTTCCAGCATATACCTACTATAATCAAGGGTCAGGGATCTCAGGATATTTATTCACTGCAATTATCAGAATGAACTTTGCGTAGTATCAGTTTTCATTTGTGTTTTGTAGCTTAAGCAAAGTAAACAGGGCTATTAGTTGTGAGTGAATTTTTCGACTATTACAAATGTTTGCTATGAGGACAATTTATAGGTTAATGACATGTCAAAGTTTTTTCTCCTATTAAAAATAATGCAAACATTTTTGAATGTAAAAAAGAAAGGTTGATTGAGTCAAAAGAAAATATGTATATTGTTTGTGTGTCATGCAATTAGTTTAAATTGCTTACGATGAGTTTGACATTCGAAGAGTTTGATACCTGATGAGTTTGACATACAAATGTTGATAGTGAAGATATTTTGGATCTGCCGCTGGTGCCTATTAGTAGTCCTTGTTATAAGCTGTATAATGTCATCTTGACCGTGAAGGGTCAGATCTCTCCCATCATGCAGTTCCAACATGACCACTTCCTTTGAATGTTATTTTTTTACCTACTATTTTTGTCCATGTAACTGTGTGGGACTTTTTGAGGAACTGATAATTTCTACAGCTGTTGAGCTTGCTGTTGCTGTTTGCTGGTGACCTCTCTGACAGTAACAGCTGCATCATCTCGGCATGTTTCTCTAGCAACATGACATGGAAGTTAGGGGGGTGGTTTCGTCATGACATGACACCATAGCAGGTGGATATAGTGCACCTGTACAGATGCAATAATCAAGGTTCTGAGTGCAAGTTTACGATAGTGTCATGTCCTGTCATGGAAAAGTTTTCTTTGCACATTCTTTTGGGAGAAAGTCAGCTTTTTCATATCCAGCAGCTGCAGTTGTTTGAGAACAATCTGTTTGTGCACAAATACCATTCCTCGTGACAAACAAGATACGATTACAATGGCGAACATTTTAGATTCAGGCAATACAATAACTGTTTGTTTGACATTCTGACATCTGACCTTGACCTTTAAACGGAATGTCCATGTTTAGAGATAAAAATATGTACATCTTCATTTTCCAAGGGAGAAAAATGTAACATTAAAAGTATACAAGTTTCGAAAGTATGAAAAGGATGAAAGTATGTGTAATTTAGTCCATATTAAAATTGCGGTCTGTGATAGTCAATATCTGTTGGTGGTAATTAGGAACTGTAATCCTAATGAAGAAGGGATAGTCCCATGGATTTCTACTTCTGTTCCCTGTAAATTTACCCAAAATGATCAACTTCATCTAAAATCAATGGGGTCTTTATATAATCATTGTTCATTCGATAGATTCCTGTGTGTATATTTGTTTCAAACATAAACTAACTTCACTTTTCTTGCTATTCTTTCTTGCACTCGTGCTTCAGTCTCTACAAGGGGCAGTGGGGTGGCCCCATGGTTAATGTGTTAATGTCATACGATTGCTCAGGTTCATGCCCACCAAGGTACCCTATGTGAAGCCCATTTTCGATGTCCTCCACCAACGTCTCACTCACTCATTCACTGATATGATTTCATATCAGTCATGTGACAAGTAGTGAGGATATCAAGTATGGAATTATACCAGTATTTCCCATGTTCCCTGAGGGATGGTGTGTTAGGCTAGTGGTTGAAGTGTTTGTCTCACAGAAGCTCTGGGTTCAGATCTTGATCTGTGAAGCTGGCTGGCATGCCTTTTGGATATTTACTACTTAGGGATAGGTTGATAATGATTGTGATGATGCTATCAGGAAGATCCTGCCTTTATATCAATCGCCCCAAGCATGCTGAGAAATGTTTCTTACTTTAAACCTTCATTTGTTCTGCATGAGGAAGACAGTTAAATGAGGCTCACGAGGGCTGTCCTCCATGTGAAAGTTCACCATTGTTTATCATCGTCCATATTTACCAAATTTCAGTCTCCCAGAAAATTAACCTGCTCTAATTACTTTCAGATCCAACATCCTCAATGACTCGCAAGACACAGCCGTCCCGACATGAAGACAAGATGTCGCTGAAGCAGGAGCGGCCTGCTCGAGCCACGCTACCAGTAGCCAGGAGCCAGTCGTTCGGCGGGATGTCAGTACGCTCCCAATCTTCCTCATCCTCGTCTACGTCTGTGCTGGGCGACACGATACGTCGTAGTCCCAGGCTGTACACACGGCCCCAGCAGACAAGCCGAGGATTAGGATTCAGTTTTCGTAAATCACCGAAAATCCCCAAAATTCCAAGGCCAAACAGAGCTCTCCTGATGTTCGAGAGCATGAAAAAGGGTATCAGGTAGGCCCTATGTTATTATTTATGGCGAGCAAAGGTTTCAGCCCTCGATGTGACAGTGTTATTTGCCCTGTCATCCCTTGGTTTGCGGGGCAGTGGAAGTTAAACCCTGTTAAGAGCAGTGATTTCACCACTTAAGAGAATCATTACAGCAACCTTGAACCTCTTGGTGGGGATAGCGTATGAAATGTCGCAAGTTCCACTCGAGCAAACAGAGAAAAAAAGATGTAGCAGCCTGGTGATGAAAAAATTGCATTTTTGGAATTTAGAGACGAGGAATCAGTCCCTCTGTGCGTGCTTTGAAGTTTTTCAAACCAGACCTGTTAATTTTGGACCAAGACAATCAAATGTTGTCTTCTTTAAGCCACAGTTTTAAGAAATAGCTGGTGACATATTTTCAGTCAGATCTTTGAACCAAGCAAAATGAACAATGTTGAATCATTTAAAAGATTTTTTTTAAACAATTAAAAGTTTCATTTAAAAGTGTCAATCAACCCTACTTCAGTTACAGAAAAACGTCTTTTAAAATGATCTATTATTCTCAATACCGTCTTTTTTCTTAATGATCATATAGTCATAGTTTATAAACAGGACACAATTGATTTTTCACAACAAAAATGAATAAATTACCATATCAGAAAACAGTTTCCTTCAACAAAGTATCATTTATCAAAATGTCACATTTTAATTTCAAATCATGGGTTATTCGTTCAGTTTTCGAAATTAGGATTGAAAGGTCCCTGGGCATTCAGATACCATTGGAGAAGACTCTCATGATGCTAGTCTCTGAAATGAACCGATTTTACAGAAAAAAACATTTGTTAAATTAACTTAAATTGTAGTTATAAAATATAATAAAAAGGAGCTCAGAGACTTCCTTCATTTACTGCAGTAATCTAGACTTGCCAAACATTGTAGACTTGCATCGTCTGTATTTGATATAATTGTTTCAGGGTCTGTATGACAGACTATGGGACCCCCATAATATACAAAAATGATTCATGTAAATTTGTTGAGGTGTTCCTCGTTGTCACTCATCGTGTGTACAAGGAAGACAGGATCAGGTTATTTCCAGGGAGGCTCCCTGAAGTCAAATCTGTCTTTAGTGCATGATTCATGATGTCCGCATTAGTGGGGCTATTTGTGACGACAAGCCTCCCCAGGCTGAGGCTGACAGGCTCACTAATCCCACACGTGACAGATTATATGTAGCTCTCGTAAAACCTTACTGATACCACATTACTAAACACAGGGTATTGTTGACGGTACTATTGTTGTTGGCTTGTGTACTTCCGGGATTTTAGCATAGCCTTATCATGACTACAATGACTGGACAGAGGAGTGGATTATGGAATCTGGGTGGGAACAGCTAGCTGTTTTTTCTTAAAATGGGTTTTGTAAATTAAAATTATGACTGATCCATATGATTTCATATTAGTGTTTGAATACATGACACGTTTTGGGGTGTTTTTTTAAAAGAATGTAGAGCATGATTCATGATGTCAGCATTAGAAGTAATGTTTGTTATCCACTTTATATATTGTCTCTCATGGTCATCCATCCACCAAAAATTGCTCCTGCCCATAATATTTTTCATCCCTGTTAAGAAATGATTTTTCCAACTCAAATTTGGTTTTTGCACCAGAGTCGGACTCCATGCTCGGAATCCGACTCAGTGTTGTCACAATGGCCAGAGGGCCATCCCTTTCATGATAGCATGGCTAATAGAGGTCACATGGTACATAAGCATTAAATGTACTGTGATAGATTTATTATTTACTAAAGAAATATAAAAAAACCCTCCCTCCCTACACAGTCAGTTTTGTAAAAAGTCTTGACAAATGAGAATATTTTTTACTGACCCTATCTATAGATATCTACAGAGATGAAAAAGTGGAAATGTAAATAAACTGAATAGCAGCTTCGAGATTGATATTATAGTGTCAACATTGCAAGCCTTGTCAATACAGGCAGCATTTGCTAAGAGATCCATGAGCCGTTTCCTGTTAGGTGGAGGGAAGCTGTGGTATTGTTTAGGAGAAGATTTAGTGAATTTTTCTTCTTCAGACAAAATGGAGGTATGGTAAGAAGCGGAAAGAACTAAATCTAGTAACAATATGTTGTGAAAAACGTGTCTAGTACACGCGAGAGCTTGCTTTCAAGTCAAACGGAACTGTGTGACCTGTTTTGGGATAAGGTCTTGTCACATGGTACAAACAAGGAGAGGATTGTATGTCCTTGAAGATTCGATTAGTTTGATGTTGAAGTCTTTTATTGATATTTGTGTTTACATATGAAATGATAGCACGGATGGGGTTTGAAAATGGTTAGCTACGAGAATAGGTGGTGCTTGTTTGACATTCTGGAATTTAACGCGCACATTTTTCACGCTCCCACATGTTATGTATAATTCCTGCGAATATGCTACCTCTATTACACCACAGCCATAAATTCTGTACTGTGGCTGTCATCACACTATAAAATTTCAACAGAAGTCCTCTTCACTGTCAACTATCCATTAACAGTTGTACAATAAATGGTCTCCTGCTGTCTAGGAGACCGAAATATAATGTTTCCAGTAAACTAGCTGACACATCCATCTCTTGTTGGCCTGAAGTGTTTGTCACATCTGTAACTTGTCAAAAAGATCCCTCAAAAGTGAATTTTTAATTCATTTGTTTTTGCCTACATACTGATATTAGTGACAGGCATGTTTCAAAAGTACATGTGCTTTTGTGGGGCTTATCAAATCTCTGATATGAGTCCAATTATGCTACAGCTGGCTAAAAAGTTTGATAATCGAAATTATCATTGATGGGAAGAAATATTAACAATTATCAATTTGAAATTGATGTCATCGATAATGACTTATATAAACTATGGTGATGAAATAAAGTTTAGATTTTCCGAAACAAAATTATTATTGTCCATAATGTCAATTGTCGAAGGCGGAAAGCAACTGTTTTTGTTATATCTAAAATGTCCATAAAATAGTCTGTCACCAGTGACATGAAATATGTTGATTTCTTTCGTGATTTTCTTGCATATATGATTAAAGTTACTTCTCTATTTATCGATAATTTTTTTATATTTAAGTCAATAATCGATATCGAGAGCACATTTTGTCAATAGCACATTTTGCAGTGTTTGTTGGTGATCACCTTCATACTGTCGATCACAGTGGTTGCAAGGCCCATTTTCAGGCATCTTGGATCTGCATCTTTTTAGGCTTTCATCCCACGTGAAGCCGACACATGATAATAGTGAAATTTTCTTCAAGGCATTGTAATACAAAACCCACTCAATCCCGATGTACAGGTCTCATTGATGTACCTGGAATATTGCTGACAGTGGCAAAAAACATTCACTCACTCTCTTGCTAATAGTTACTTAAGCCAGGCAAACAGGCTCTAGGGCCTGAAACGGAGATCGTGAATACACATTAAAAGCAGAGAACGCGTTGTGTCATTTGCAATTTTCTTTGTTAACTTTGCAAATGGATCTCTTGAAGTTGATCCGGGGACTTAATTTCTTGAAATCCCCGATGATGAGCTGCGAATCCCTTTGTTTGTTTCTCAATAGAAATAGCGAGGATCTTGATAGTCCCATTCTTCATCAAACATCAGATAGGTGTCGCCGGGGCTGTGCGGTCTTCGCCAAGTCATGGCCAGCGTGGAATGTCCATACAAACATGTACAGATAGGCTAACACGGACTTGACACAGGGTGGTGACCAACTTAGTCAACAATGACCCCGGAACCCCGGGGACCCCCTGACCCAGCAATGTTATATTTATTGGAGGGGTGGGGGAGGGGGTGTCTTGAGATAAAAATGTAGCTGTCATAATATTAAAATATTCGTAAAAGTTCAGTTGCATGATATCTACAAGTTAGAGTTACCTCCCTTTGGCAGGGAACAGAACTTTTACTTTTAAAAGGGGCTTTACTGTAGTTTGTTTGTTTAACGCCGCACTCAGCAATATTCCAGCTATATGACCACTGTCTGTAAATAATCACGTCTGGACCAGACAATCCAGTGATTGATATCATGAGAATTAATCCACACAATTGAGATACGATGACATGCATCAACCAAAACTTGTCAGGGAGCCTGACGACCCGATCCCATTAGTCGCCTCATATGACAAGTAGGGCTGCAACGAATACACTATGACGCGATTACGATTCATATCATGAATATAGGGTCACGAATACGAATATTAATTCACAATTACAATAACAAGTCAGCAGTTTATGTATTATTTATTATATCCAGTGAAACAATAACATCATAATTTATTTGACATGGTTTGTTAATTATTAGGGGCCGTCGGGTAGCCTGGTGGTTAAAGCGTTTGCTCGTCACGCTGAAGAACCGGGTTCGATTCCCGACATGGGTACAATGTGTGAAGCCCATCTCGCCGTGATATTGCTGGAATATTGCTAAAAGCGGCGTAAAACCAAACTCACTCACTGTTAATTATTAATAAATTATACATTTATATACTGCTCTTATCCAGGTACTAGTATCTGCTCAAATGCGACAATGACCAGTGAAACCAATACTATCAAATTAAATATTATTAGAGTGTTGTCACTGAAAGAAATCTATGCATATTATATGTTGTTATGGATATTTTTAGGGACAGGGTATGTAAATATACATGATTGCATATTCATAAATATTCGATAATAATAATATAATAATAAATTCAATTCATGAATGGTTACGATTTGATTCACCGAATACGCGAGTGAATCGTAACAGCCCTAATGACAAGCATAGTTGCTTTGGGTTGCGGAGGACCTATTCTAACCCAGATCTTCACGGGTCCTATATCCTTGTAATCTGTTTTGCAGGGAGTTCATCCGAGCTACCCAAGAGGACATCATGCAACTGCAGACGGGGGACTCCAACACGTCCACGGCACAGGTGAGAGCAATAGGATCCACGCAACAGCTCGGGCTCTTCTATATGCATCTATACACATGTACACGTTTATAACAACATAGTCATAGGAACCTAAGATATATAATATTGCTCTTGCTTTACACAAAATAATGACATACTAGTACCGTGAAGTTTGTCTAATGGTGCGTGTACATGAACATCAATAAGGCTGTGAGTTACCCGAATGGTTTGTCAGAGCAGACGTAATTGTTTTTGGCTTTTCCATGAGCAGTGTGTCATGCAAATGGCAAAATATAATAGAAAATGGTGTCAGAATTGTCTTCCTAAAAGATGCTTTCAAAATAAAAACAATGCGTTCAGTAAGCATATTTTCAATCAAGCTAAATTGATGTCAAGTCAAAAGAGGTATATATTCTCTCAAATATACAACTCAACATTGGATAGGCTAGTCCCTATTGTTACAAGATACCAGGGATGGGACGATACACCATCTGTTCGATCCGATACGTATCATGATACCTTCTTCACGATCCGATACGTATCAGGAGACTGGCATGTGCTCTTATCTGTGGTGCATAAGCCATGTTTTCATAGACAGGATGGCCTAATTCCTGGCACACTGACGATTTACAGTTGTCAGTGTCAAGTATGGCACAATGGATGAAAATATTTACTCTTTCACTACTAATTAGTGTTTGGTGTAAACGCCATTAAAGTAACCGTTTAAGGTATGTTTCAATATGTTGTACTTAGTGTGCAACTGTGATCGATACTTGTATCGGGAAGTTAAATATTGCAATCCACCAATGCATCGGTATGTATCGTCCCACCACTACAAGAAACCCCAAACAAAGTGCTACATCCTAGACTGTGCTTTCCCTGGGTCAATGAGCTCAAACATACTACCATAGTCATATTATTCCAATCTATACTACTCAAAAGAAGTTAAGGATCCCCTGATTCTTTCATATTACTATAGTTAATCTCTCATGTCATGACAGATTAACTTTACCATTATGAAAGAATCGTGTGATCCTTAACTTCTTTTGAGTAGTATATTAAATCCTAGAATTTTCTTGCTCCAGTTTACCGATCACTTCACACACTATTTCGCTGAAATTATTGTAAACAATATTAAATGACATTGTGAATAAAATTAATAAAATAGGTTACAAACATAAATCCAGATATACAATGAACACTTTTTATAACCAGACAGAGTAATAACAAGATGAAATTGAGTACTTCAGTACGGATTTGTTGCTTTGGGGGGGGGGGGGGAAACACCAAAACTCATTATGGCGTGTATAATGCGCACCCCCCTCTACACAGCTGTGCTCTTTGGAAGAAAAGTGTGCACTGTGTTCAGAAAATATGGTACTCATTACCGAACCAATTACTACTGCTCCAAAAATGTCTCCTTGTCCTTTAAATAACTGAGCAGTATACATTTTCGGAAGTCCCGTTTTAAACTTCCGACAACCACAACAATGCATGGCGATCTCCCTGTATCACGTGACCTGTGAACCTGCACAAGCCACGTGCCCATTTTATGCATGTTTTTCAGTCCCAAAGATTTTCTTGAGACATTCACCCAGCTTAAAATGTTTCATCAACACAGTCCCCATTTGTGGCAACAGCTTTACTGAATGCACAATGTAGAGGAAAGGACGAAGTCCATTCATGAACTGACGGTGTACTCACGGCCAAGAAACCAAGTAAATCTTGCAGCCATGTGTGACATTAAGAGATACTCTAAGCCTACAGGATAACCGTTTTAACTTTACTTTAAGATATGTTTTCCTATTCTAGCAGAAACTTCAGATGTTTTGGCCTCCTACTAAGATAAACGATCAAGCTATTTCCTGATTGGCTAGAGATGAGTTGCTAATCTGTCAGGTGACATGCAAAGATATCTTCCTTCAACGCCCTTATGTAAAATCTCACACTTCTCTGTTTTGTCAAAAAATTCCCTTTTGTGTTTAAAGAGGCACCAAAACGCCAGTGAAGAGTTTGACAGCTCGATCGTGAATGTAGTTTAGCTGGGCATGGAGCAAACATGATATTGTAGCGTTGCTGGACTTGCATGGGAAGGCCAACAGGCTGTGTATTTGAAAAATGTCCGTAAAGCTCTTGTCTTTCCTTGGTTGCTTGATCGGAAAACAAAACCCAATTTTGGAGTATTTTCAAGAATTTAGGAGCAGTTCCTCTCCTTGAAGTATTTCCTGAAAGTGTGATGGCATTGTTTTCCATCACAAAGCAGTTTATTAAGGGTCAATATTTGGAAATATATTGATTGTGAGTGCATATCAACTTGGTTTTTGAGGTCCAAGTGGTTATCAGAAGTCGCAAAAAATCTTTAACCACAAAATATCATACACTGTATGAAAATAACCTGCTCATGTCAGGAAATGAAGGATTAACAAATACGCGTTTAAAACAATGTTTTGTATAGTTCGAAAAATGATTCTTTAATGCCATTGAAAACTAAAACAATAGAAAATGATTTTAAGTATAACTCCTGAAAAAAACACAGTTAAATAAACAAACAGGAAACTAATTAAAATATAATTCATAAGCAAAAGAATATATGTTTTTATTGCAAGACACCATTATAATATAAAAGACAACAGAAAATAGTGTTTGAGGACAATTGAGTCCAGTACGTAAAACAAGAAACCAAAATAAATCATATGAAAATCACCAAAACAATGTATGAATGTGTTGTGGATGTTCACGTGAAACTGGGGGTAGCCCAGTTGTCTAAGGAGCAATTCGCTGTGCAGAGTTGTGTCCCTTGGGCATGCCAGAAACCTATTATTGTGGGATCGAATCCCGGTTAACCCAAATTATGTTTCTAGGTTGCCAGCACCATACCCATCCTCGTGGGTTTCACCAAAGTGGTAAACGTCTGAGACCTGCATCACTTTGGGCTTTCCTCCCACATTAAGCTGACACGCCATGATATAACTGGAATACTGTTAAAAGCGGTGTTAAACCCTACTCACTCATATGAAACTGTTGTAGAGATTCTATGGTTGAGAGTTTTCGTGTATTCTGGTACTGTAGATTAAAGCTGGTGTGGTATGTTCCTATTGTAGGGTAGGCTCCATGAAACAGACAAGGTAATTCTCGTTGATGCATGTAGTAGTGAATCCATTGATTGTAGTGTCAGTGCATGTTTAGACAGTATATCCCAGAGGAAGACATTGCTCTTTCATACTTGCAATCTCATTAAAATCAGATCTTCCGATATGATACATCTGTGAGAAGATCTAACGACCCCTTCATTGAAGGTCGTGTCGGGTGAACTTTCCAAGCAGCCAATCACCACCACCGCCTCGAATATCTCGGTACGATCGAGCAAGGCAATCGAGCAGCATATCTCATTCTGTATCTTGAAATCAAACTTAAATGTCCAGTCCCGTAAATAATATAGGTTTTGACCTTCTGTTGTTGTGAATATTTTATGCACCCTATTATTTCTGAAGGCCATGGGATCTTCACCCACAATGAAGTACAATTAAAGAAATATCTTTTTTGTTATCTCAAAATTTGTCAATTGAGGTGGTCCTCAAATAAAACCCATATTTCTTTTTAAGGCTGACATCTGATTGGCCAAAGAACCTATGCTATGCATCCTCCATTTCAATTGGGAAGTTTGCTCAGGGTTCAATGAAGTGACCTTTGGAGGTGTCCTTCATGTCGACTGGTATTATACCGGAGTAAGAGATCTGATTTTAATAAGATTGAGATATTTGCTGCTTTAAAATAATTATCAACGATGTGCTGTGTTGACCAAATGTGCATATTTACTCCAATCTCAACGTTGTGTAACTGACTTTGATTTCTGTGCAAGTCAGAGAAGACCAGTGTTGATTTCTCTCGGCACATGTTTTAAGCTTGTGTGATCACGAGTTTCATTTCAGTTTGTGTTTGAGTGTGTTGCACAAATTTTGAACTTTCTTAACAACTTTGCTGCACTTAACAGTTGATTCTTCTACGTGAAACAGTTATCTCCCCTGTTCTGTCAACCTTGTGACAAAATGTCCTATTTCCGTATATACCTTGTTATTAAAGTCATTATACACCACTTCTCCAGGCTGTATAACCTTATAACAGTTGTCATGTTGGTTGAACTCTTTTCCTTACTAATACATACAGGATTATTCTTAACCTGAACACTTTATGTATAAATATAATGAATGAATAATGTTTCACTAATGGGAAACAGACAATCGGTAAGAGTATAATAATGGTTTGGGTTAAGTTTTATATAACAGGGAACCTTATTGTTACTCCAGTGTGACAAATATCCGTGAAAAGTCCCATGTACCACCAATGTACCACCCTGTTCTATCTATGTACCTCCTTTTGTACCATCCTGCCTTTGCTGAACGTATCTTTGTTGGATGTTATGGAAGTCACATGTCCGGTAAAGGAAGTGAAGCTCTTAAACCATCTTCAAACTAAGCCAATATCAACAGCTGTTTAGAATGCTTACACATGCTGTAGTGCCCATTTCTTGTGTCCCCCGCCCTGATATTGCTGGAAGATTGCTAAAAGCGGCGTAAAACCAGCGTAAAACCATACTCACTCACTCACATGGATGCGGTGACCTGGTTGATTGTGTGTCATCGAACCCGAATGGTGTGGACTGTTGCTCACAATAACAATCACTGGATTGTCGGGCCCAGACTTATAATACAGCTGCCATCATACATGCTGGAACAACAAACTAACCTACACATGTTGTAATTCTATGGTTTAAGAGTACATGACCGTGAAGAAACGTGTAAAGTCTTTGGCTACTCCACAGTATATTGTGAGATTTTCATCCAATTTGTGAATAATGTTATATGGAGGTTTTGGTTGTAATCTTTTATAAAAATACTGTTCAAGACACATGTATATGTTGCTGATGGGTGGGATTCACGGGTGTGTTTCACGGGTGAGATTCATGGGTGTGTTTCACGGGTGTGATTCATGGGTGTGTTTCGCGGGTGAGATTCATGGGTGTGTTTCACGGGTGAGATTCATGGGTGTGTTTCACGGGTGAGATTCATGGGTGTGTTTTACGGGTGGGATTCATGGGTGTGTTTCACGGGTGAGATTCATGGGTGTGTTTTACGGGTGGGATTCATGGGTGTGTTTTACGGGTGGGATTCATGGGTGTGTTTCACGGGTGTGATTCACGGGTGTGTTTTACGGGTATGATTCACGGGTGTGTTTCACGGGTGTGATTCGCGGGTGTGTTTAATAGGACTTGGTATGTTGTGTATGTAATCCAGTACAGGAAGTAGAACTCAGTGGTTTCTCCATGTGTAGGTACTTGGGGACAGTGGCGTGATGTGGGGCCGGGTGTTTGGTAGTGATGCGGTGGGATGAAGGTTTAATAATCAATATAAATGATTAACTACGTGATACTTCACCATTGAAGTATCACCATTGCATTGCCCACTAAAACAAAATAATTTGTAAAAAGAAAAATTAGGATTTAATAAGTTTGTCACAGACAGGATTGTAGAGAGACAGATTCATATCGGTGCCACAACGTGTGATTACAAAGGCAATAACTCTCCTTTGACTTGCGCATAGTGCTTGTGAAATCATGCTAGTTTTTGTTTGAAGCATGGACAATCCCTAGAACAGTTTTTGTAGGTAGAATGGCTGCATTGTTTAGTTATGTTCCGGTGACAGTTGGTATTGATATTACTCTATCTCAGTCAGTTACCATATAGCTGAGAAATGGCCAGTGCGACATTAAATTTGAGCTCACTAGGAGAGATACAGCGTCTGTCAGAGACAGTCTCTGTTCGTATTTGGTTTTAGCAGGCGTTTTTTTAAGGAGATATGGTGTTTTCAATTTTTAACTTGTCTAACACCTGTTGTTGAGTAACTAGCCTGTCGAGTTATTATGTTGGTGTATTAAGGTAGACATGGTGTACAGACAATGCAGCGACCTTCACCTTGGCTTTCACTTGTGCATACCAGGCTCTGTGTTAATATTTATCTTTATTCAATTATGTTTTATTTTTTATTCCAGCAAATCAAAGCTGCTGAGAGATATTTGAAGAAACTGGAATTTCACTTGTCAAAGGTTGGTGATGTTGGTTATTTAGATGTTTTCGTTGCTAAGGCTAGACAAAGAGGGATTTGGGAAGGGACATAACTCTCGTCATTCAAAGAAACTACCTAAGCAGCATGTGTCTTTATTAAATTTTGTATTTCGCCAACAGTTATATGTTCGAGGCAGGGATAGCATTGTGGGGTAACATCCAGGTTTGCTAATGCCAAAGGTCTAGGTTCAGTTCCCAACACAGGAACATTATCTTAAACCCATTCATGATGTCACCTGTCGAGATATGGCTGGAATATTTTGATGAAAAATCTTTAAACAATCACAAGTAAATAAAAAGTCCTAAATTACTGATATCAATATTTTAGCAATATTGCTGGAATATTGATAAATGTGACGTAAAAACTTACTCACCCAATCAAGCATTCAGACAACCACTGTTTTTGAATTTATTTCCAATTTTATTTTACATTTCATTTTGGTAACTGAGCCATAATATTGATGGGAAATCTGTAAACAATCACAAGTAAATAAACAGTCCTGAAGTAGTGCTATCAATGATCATCTCCATGTCACCTCAAGTCCATGGTGAGATGACCCTGACTCACATGGCATAAGTTTATATTAGATAACTCTAGAGGTGACATCAATGAAGAGGAACTCAAATATTTACCACCTAAAAGAAAAGTGACAGTGTGTTGTGTGGGTATACAGACTTGGACATGTATTGTCAAAAATCTATCGAGGCAGTAACCTTAGACAGCGGAAAAATGCCAAGGTAAATTGATGGAAATTTTTCTCCATAAGATTTGAACACAATGCCAGCACATATGTGAGAATGTGGCTAATGTACTGTAGATGAGTGTTACGTTCCGATTTATTGGAGGGGGAAACAAGGCCCTATGCTGAAGGTTGGCAGGTCGTGTGCCATGGATGTGACTCATTCTTCTAGAATTGACACCACCTGTCCATGTTTGTTATACAATCTGGAAATATTCTAGTTGGTCGAGAATTTGTTTTGTTGAACAATGCCAACTTTTGTTTTGAGTAAAATTGTACTGAAATTTAAAAATAATTAAATATCCACACCCACATGTAAATATTAACAAATGTGAAAACAATTGTTTTGTTTATATCTCGATAGCAAAATTTGATAAATTTTGTTTGGAAATTTAGATATGTTTCTTATATAAATTTGCATTTAACACAGAAACTGACTTTTACAGTAAACATTGATAAGTTTTAATGTGAAACAAAAAGTGGTCCTGTTAAAGTGAACTCCACTATAACAGTACATACAGTACTTCATATGCATATATATCTGACTTACCGTAATCGACGTAATAAGCGTCCAGGGCGCTCTCAAAATTAGAAATAGGGGGCTCTTATTAGAATATAATTTTGGTAAAAGGATTGAAATATCGTAAATTTCGTGGTTTATGCTGACAGCCTGAAATGATACGAAAGAAAAGTCTGCGTATTAACACGACAGCTATGTTTTTCCAGAATTTAATTGCCCGTAATTAAGGTTGCATATAAGATAGAGTGCGATAGAGATTATACACAAATAAATAAGTCTTGTGTACATTGACCAATCGGAAGGGTGCTAATTGGGATCGTTCACTAGCCAATATATTAGCAAACATCACCATGGGCGCTTATTAGAGCGAGGCGCTTATTACATTGAATATGGTACTTAAAATACAATTAATAGCCCAGTACATACTGTGTTCGCTTCTCTCACCCGGCGTGGAATCCCATGGAGGAAAATGTGAACCAATTCTTGGAGTCCAGTTGTTAATGAGTTGAAAATACCTAGCTTTCAGTCCAAACTCAAAAGAAAAGGAATTATTAATTATTAATCATTGCAATTTGTTTTTCCAGCTTGATGAGCTTCACGAGTGCTACCTGGTTCATCAACAACTCCGAGAAGGTAGGGAATGTGCATCTTCCTGAGGCGAAGAGCGTCCACTAGCCTTTTTTATCAAAGTCTTGTTTCCAACCTTGCCACATCAAGCCCACTTTCCTGTGCTAAATATGATTGGACTATCGCACTTTTCGATAGTCACATCAGAGAACATTTAGCGTCTAGCGTCACATAAAATATTGCTGAACATTTTATAAAATCTTAAGTGTACATCACCACCTTTGACTGAAGTGTTTGAAATATTCATTTTCAATCTATATCTAAGATAAATAAGCGAATGTTTGGTTGATCTTCAGGGGCTCGGACTATGGCAAGAGCATACACAACGTCGCCTGGCAACAGAAAACAGTCCCTCACGAACGTGAAATACGGGTATAAGGAGTGTTCACAGGTGAGTGACAACAGGAAGCTCCCGTAAAATGTAATTGTATTCATATGATGATAGCACTAGTGGTGGTACTACATATTAGGTCTGGGACGATACACCAACTGTGAGATACGATACGTATCACGATACCTTACTCACGATCTGATATGTATCACGATACCTTACTCACGATCCGATATGTATCTCGATACTTGCATGTGCTCTTATCTGTGGTGCATAAGCCATTTTTTTCATAGACAGGATGGCCAAATACCTGGCACACTGATGATTTACAGTGAAGTATGGCACAACAAATGAAAATATTTATGTTTTCACTATTAACTTGCACTACTGATTAGTGTTTAGTGGAACAATTATTAAATCAAACATTTAAGGTCAGAAAGGATATTTTGTACTTAGTGTGCGACTGTGATTGATACTTGTATCGAGAAGTAAAAAATCACGATCCATCGATGTATCAGTTTATCGTCCCACCACTACTACTTATGTCTCCGTGGAAGATGCCTGCTTTTATTTATTTTTTATTAGTTTTTTTCCTTACAAAGATAAAATAAAAAAATAAAAAAATAAAATAAAATTCATTCTAACATTTATTATATTTCATTGGAAGCTTTTTGGCCAGAAATATAAAAAAGAAATTTGAATTGATGTGGAAGGATGGAGCAGAGGTTCCTGTCTTGGAAACAAACGGAACATGTGAACATAGAAATGATATTATGCCAAGTCATTTGGCAATTTCAACAACCAGCAAACGCAGATTGTTTTTTTACTTATTTGCATTAGTAAAGCATGTTGTATGTTGAGTGCCACGCTCCTTTTCCTTTTCCACGCTTGTTGAGATTTAGTGATCAGTTGTATATTTGGAGACAAGACTGTATTCCTGATTCAGTGTAAGGATTCTAGTGTACAAGAGAAGCTAACCTCACTCTTCTTGTTGCCAGACATTATGTGCAATAGAGGCCCAGCTGGAGAACATGCTCGGCACGTTCCACTGCAAACTCAAGGGTAAGTTCTCCATATTTATCATTCTGTTTTTACATCTTTAGGTATGGAAATTAACCAAGAACATCTACTAAGGCGAAAAGATCAATATAGCAATACCCTCGAAAAATGTTTGAAATTCTACTGGTCCTTTGTTTGGCAAGTGGGTAGTGCTAATTTTCATCTCTGTATCTTGAAATTCTATTTTGAAGGCTTCAGATGAAGGTGACATTAAAATTTCACACATTAGCTATTTTATCTTCAACAGTGGAAGAAAATAGCTGTGTGTCGCCATCTTTCTTTACTTCATGAAAAACCATATACAGTTGTCCCTGTTGTTTAAGGCGCTGTGTATAGTTGCGTCCCTCTGGCCGTGTTCAAATCCCAGATTCGGCTTAATTATGTTACCATCCCCTTATTTCAAAATAGAGTTAATTTAACTCACTCAGTCACTGTTATGTTGTGTGTCGCAGGTATGGCAGGGTTTGCACGGCTCTGCCCTGGCGATGTGTTCGAGGTCTCCATCCGCCATGGGCCACAGAAGTGGAAGACAAAAGGCCGCATTGAGAAAAACAACACACAGAAGTGGGATCAGCCTGAGTTTATGTTCAAAGCCTTGGTTGGAGAAGTCCTCAGTCTAAAGGTAAGAGCACCTGTTTGTTGAGGTCAAGGGGAAAATACGTCCCTACCAAGAGACTGTCCATTTGAGGCCCTGAGGGTGTGGGCTGGTTGCTTTTGAAAACATAATTTGTTCCAGGAAATAATTGAAAAAAGAAATGGCTAACAGTTTCACAAAATAAAACCAACTTTTTTATGCAAATAATTTATTAGGAAATGATTTGTGTTTCTAAGCCACAAATAAGCCTGTTAATTGGTTGGGTTTTTTTATAACATGGCAAAACTGTTTTTAGTGGATATGCTTCAAAATGGCTATGGTTTATAATTGTGATGAACTCATCTCTTCATGTAAAAATTGGATTCAAGGGGTACTTTTACAAGTAAGAATGTGCGTGTGGGATTGTGTAAGGAACTACTTTTAGTGAATGAAAAAGGAAGATGCATTTCAAGGGAGCTAACTCTTAAAACCATTCTCCAGTAAAATCTCAAAAAACTTAAAGCAAACAGGTGGTTGGGTAGCCTAGTGGTTAAAGATTTCGCTCGTCACACTGAAGGCCTAGGCTCAATTCCCCCATACCATGTGTGAAGCCCATTTCCAGTTTCCCATGATACCATGATTGCTGGAATATTGCTAAAAGCGGATTAAAACCTCACTGACTCACTCACTCATGCTCACACTCACTCACTCACTCACTCACTCACTCACTCATGCTCACTCACTTACTCATTCACTCACTCACTCACTCAACCCTACACACCAACTTGCCCACTCACTCACTCACTCACTCACTCACCCATTCTCACTCCCACTCACTCACTCACTCACTTACTCACTCACTCACTCACTCACTTGTTGAAGTATGCCTGTGTTTAATGAGTTGCCCTTGCTCCAGGCTGTGGAGGTTCGCAGCTTCAAGAGTGTACTGCTGGGGCAGAAGAACTGTGAAATCAAGGATCTGTTTTCTGCCAACCCTCAACTGATGACAGTCAGCATCAACTTCAACGGCTCTCTGAAACTCAGCATCGTCATCACATGGAAGTATGTACTTATAAATCACCAGACCACGGTTCATTTAAAAACATGTTTTTTACTTATCCTGCATTACTCTTTAATGCATCTACTGCTTACCTTATGAGAAAGAAAACAGCACTTAGCGATGGTCCTAGGTGAAGGAAAAAAACTTGATGGTCCTAGGTAAAGAACAAAGTGTTTTTCCATCTTCAGTCTACTTTTACTAGGACCCATCGCCACTGTCATGTGACTGTCCATTGTGGCGTCACATCTGATTACATTACCAACTCTAGTAGGGAAAAAACATTTAGAATTCCTCCTTGTGTTGTGACTGCCATACATTGATATGGTTCGTAGCACTCCCATACTTTAACACAGACTTACGATTATTGTAGTGCTACAATTGCCTTCCGGAACGGGGGCCCATGAAACTCGACTCCACTACCAGGTGTAGACTGTTGCGGTTTATTCATGTGTGTGGGGCGGTGGGGTAGCCAAGTGGTTAGTGAAAGCCCATTTCATGTGTCCCCCACTGTGATATTACTGGAATATTGCTAAAAGTGGTGTAAAACCATACTCACATATCACTTATTCACACTTGTTGTTGTCTGCAGCCCTCTTGACGGCATGGATGAGTCCGTTACATTCTTCGAGGCTCCGAGTCGGCCCCAGGGTACTCCACGGAGGCGACCCGTGTCCGTTCTGGCTCTGAATGGCCAACTGGTAAGTTCACATGGAGTTGTTTAATAAAATATATACTTTAAAATTTCTGGTAGCTAGCCATGGATATTCAAGGGTTTGTGGTCACAGAAGACTAAATGTAGGTGTCTCGCAAAGCAATTTTCAGGTCTGTCAGTTAAATGTATTCCTTTACTGAGGAAAGTGTAACCTATATGAGTCGTGGGAATTCTAGGGTAGCAGAACGGGAGACAGATTCCATATTTATGATTATAGGGTGGTCATTAGAATTCAGGGCAGCTAATGTCCACAGTAGCCAATGGATATTATGTTGATGTTGAGACCCAGCTAATGAAGCCGTGATTACAGTCTCTGTGTACAGATTGTGTCATATTACCCTGAAGACTAGCAGTGACATTCATGCTATCCACCACTTGATTATCTCGCCCAGAACTTGATTATAAATACCCCGGAAACTTGAATATTGCATCCTTTTTCACTGTTCACGTAACTAACACAATCTTCCTCCACAACAGTCTGGGAGTTACGGCGACCTGCCGACCGGTCCGGAACGGCGCTACTCCAGCCCACTCCATCTCCATCACTCCAAGGACGACTACTACCTGTTCGGCTCCTCTACCTCCCTGCCTACTCGGGCGTTCGAGTCCCACTCGTACCAGGCCTCGCCACTACTCCGCAGCAAGGACAACACCGTGTTTGTGAGCCACACTCAGGGATCGCGACTATCACAGACAGTATTATCTAGTGCCCTGCCAGTACAGCCTCTTCCTCAGACTCTCCTGCCCGGTGTTCTCTCGCAGACTGTAATGACCAATCGGGACGATCCCACTAGTATTGAGGAAGGGCTAAATGTTCTGACGACCTCGTTGGAGGATTTCCTCGGACAATATAACGAGTTGCAGAAGCTGGAGGAAGTGGTTGTTTTCCTGGAGCAGTTCATCAGGGTGAGTGAGCAGGACGGGCATGTCTGCCATTTTGTGAAGTTTGAGTTTTATGAATGATTTGTGTCGCTAGCAGGGATTTAACTAGACCTCAGATACCAGTATCTGGCCTAAGTCAGCAGCAAGTGAAAGTAAAAATTTCGATTTAAGATATCTGTATTCCTGAGAAGTTTCAAAAATAAGAACATTCAAAGAAATCCAATTTTATATAATATCCCTATTTTTTCCCAATTTGCCTGCCAAGGGCACTTAGTTTGGAATCCTAGACAAATCTCTATGGCTTGAGGGAGTCATCTCTCCACATCTCGTATACCCTGTTGTACTCATAACACGTGCTGGACCCTTGCATCTGCTACCCCTTAGGAGACCTTGCAAGATAGTAGCCACATGTGTATTGAAACAGTCATGACGTTCAGCTACTTTATGAAAACATGCTGTAAATTCTGACTTTCCATACATTTGTTTGTAGTCACAGTAGCTTTCTTTTGTCATATTGCCCACTGTAATGTGATCTTGCTACTTTCAATATGGAAAATACTTAATTCTGATAGGTCAGTTAGAGGTTTCAAAATAATATAACCACCTTTGGTTTAATGTTGCATGTTTAGTTACAATTTACAGATAGCCGCCACTATTAAAACTCAGTATGCTAGTATCCTGATTCTAATACTTTGGTAGCCATGTGATCACTACAGTATCACAGTATGAATTAAACTGAAATAAACACCATGTCTCATGTTGCAGAAACAGTCGCGATGCAGCTCTCGGTCTTCCAGCATCAGCGTCTCCATAGAGAGCGCACTTGAAGCTTTCGATTTCCTCAACACAGAGGATACGACAGATGATGCCACAGATGACCTTGACCCTAGTCCTGAGTACGTCCATTACAACAACTACAAGTTTGCTTCACAAACAGGCAGCCATCATTATTATTATTATTATTATTATTATTATTATTATTGTTATTATTGTTATTATTATTATCTGAAATAAGGCAGATACATGCATTTTCACATCATTTGCTCAGTGATTATTGTGTTTAGAATTACAAATTCCAATTACATTGTTATTGAGTCAAATATTAGGAAGACTTTGGAAATAAGCTCAAAATCCTGTTAGTAAATTTACGACGAAGTCTTCTGGCCAACAGGGAAATATGGTTTAGTCTAATATCTGTCCTGAGTAGTAGTCGGTTAATTAGTGTCAATTATGATATCTGCTCTATGTATACAAGTGTGTGGGATTAACAGAAACTAGTAAACCCTCTGCTGTTTCTGCTGTTGAGTCATTGTGCCCTGCATACATCATGAACACCTTACAGAACAAGTTTACTTCCTTACAGAGTGAGCCGTACATCCAGCATCGATCAAATTCTTGCCAGCCCCGAGTCCACAGCCAAGACGGCCGACTCCGGGATCGAATCCCTCGCCAAGCGCCTCAGCGAGGACACTCAGCTCGGCTCTAGTCTGGGTTCCAGCCCCATCCCTCCTTCCACTGGGAACGAACAAGTTGACCAGGCCCTCCTCTTTCATCTTGGATACTGTGATAGACTTCTGGAGGTGAGATGGGGGGTGGTTTCCAGGCAGTTGCCGCTTGTTGTACAGCGTTTTGAAATTGGAACAATAATGTGTGAAGCAGTCTTTTCAAAAAGGTTGTTAAATCGGAGTCAAAGCCTGAAAGCCTGTATCCAGGCTTTTTCTTAATAAATACAGTAAACTATGGTTATAACAAACTCAATTTCACAAACAAATTAGTTTGTTATAATCGTAGTTCATTTTAAGCAGATTTACAGCAAATGTGCAGGACCAAAAAAAACAATTTGTTATACCCGTCAACTTATTATAAGCATGTTCGTTTTAAATGTAGTTTACAGTAATGAAAAAACTGCCATTTGGCTTGATAACTCATTAATCACATATCAATTGTCTTCTCTGTGTAACAACTTCGATTGTGTTTATTTTTTTTATCCATATTCTGTTAACCAGACGAGTTCAGTTATCACGGAAGACTGTTCCACCAACATTGTATCATAATATCACTGCATTCCAGGGTGATGAAAATGAAAATCTGTTCATGCAAAATGTGATGAGCTCAGCACATTTGCTGACGGAATTTGTACAATCTGCTTCAATCTGGCAATGACTGGTTCTCCTGTTCACATGTCCACCACAGGTCCCAGAATGAATACAAAAGGAATGCACAATGCCATTTAGAAAGTAAACATTTTCTGAGTAAAGTATAGATGCTAGTACTTTTTCGGGTTGAGTCTCATCGGGGATTCGAACCCACATTGCGCACACTGCCATTGAGCAATCTAACCGTGCAATCTTCGCTGTGCAGAGTTGCATCCCTTGCGACAGGCCAGAAACCTATGCAGATATGGCACTACAGTTGATCAGGACGAGACCTGGGGATAGTGATATTATCAGTGACTATTATTACTTTACTCTGTTCTCGTGCTGTTTTATGGATTTTAATAATAATGATTTTTTTTTTCCAGAGCTTAGGCAACTTTGGTCCCCTGAGGTGTCGAGAGTTCTACGCACTGGATAAACTCCAGAAGCAAGCCTTCATCATTGAAAGCCTGATGAAGATTGCCAAACAAGGGCCTGATGTGGATCTGCATTCTGGTACGTTGTCTGGCCGATAACAAGCATCATTTAAGGCTGGAGTACCATAACTGTCTCAGATCAGCCTCAAGATGAGGTGTTGTACATCAGGAAACACGGTTGAACATATCGCTGTGTGAGCCAGTAGACTGTCGCAATTGGTTTAATGATCTTGTAATGGGATCGGGTGGTCAGGCTTGCTGACTTGGTTGATGTGTGGATCGATGCTCATGTCAATCACCGTATTGTCTGGTCCAGACTTGGTTATTTACAGACCGCTGTCATATAGCTGGAATATTGCTGAGTGCGGCGTTAAACAACAAACAAACAAACAAACAAACAATAAACAATGATCTTCAACTTTCTAGTTTGATATGCACATCAAATCTAGAAAGTTAGAATAGTCATTAGTCATAAGTCAAACAAAACAATTGTTGGAACACTGGAATTATTGAATCTCAGTGCTCCATGAATAAATGCTGACAATCAATATCCAAAAAATCCAAACAATTGAAAAATGATAAAAAGTTGTGTTTTTCAGTGCAAAAATAATTTGTCGCATATCCATGTCTGGGGATTAGGTGGGATTCCGAGTTGCATGTCTCCTCCAGTGTATGCAGGTTGTAAAAGTTGACTTATGGTTGGGTTGTGGCTCGGAGACTCGGTTGACTGCATGTCATTGAGCCCTGATGGCAATGATTGTTCCAAATACTATCCATCACTTGATTGTCTGGCGGTGCGGTCGGGTAGCCTAGTGGTTAAAGCATTTGCTCGTCAAGCCGAAGACCCAGGTTCGATTCCCAACATGGGTACAATATGTGAAGCCCATTTGTGGTGTCCCCTGCCGTGATATTGCTGGAATATTGCTAAAAGCGGCGTAAAACCAAAATCACTCTCACTCAATGATTGTCTGGCCTAGACTCCATTATTTACAGGCTGTTCTCACAGCTGAAATAGCTCAGTGCACTTTTAAACAACAAACTGATAACATTGTTCTGTATTCCAACAGTGATGTCGGAACTGACTGACGACAAGGCGTTGAAGGAGTTCTGGGTTCTGTGCGTGGACCAGAACGTGTTGTACGTCCACCCAGAGAAGCTATCCTACACCATGGAGCAGAAGTTCGGACTCAATATCAAGGAGACCTTCGATGTTTCCCCTGCCAGAGGTACGTTGCTCATCAGTCAGGCTAGGAAGCGTGTTCAGTGTTGCCGTGTGGTATTGGGAGTAATTATCAAGATCGAAAATTACGTTACAGAAGCTATTCATATCCAGCTCTTAAAAATGAGTTAGTGCAGGAGAAGCATCTTTGCTGTTAACAACAAGAACATTTGTCATTTTGCGATTTATTATAGTTTTACTTTCACTTAGCTGCTCATTCTGCCATTTAGATTACGTCTGCCTTTAGGGGTGAGGGGTAGCCTAGTGGTTAAAGCGTTCGCTTGTCCTGGTGAAGACCCAGGAGTGACTCTTATGGGTACATTGAGTGAAGCCTATTGTAGTGACCTGCCATGATATAGCTAAAAGCAGCATAAACTCACTCACTCACAAATCGGCATAAAATCGTCCTCACAATCAACTTTATCTCTGGACATGATAGATAATCTGTGTGTTTGAACATTATTCCTGCAGGTGGATGCTAAGACTGGCCATTATGAAAGATAATGTTTGTTTTCAGTGTTTGCTTACATCATGGCGAAGGTGCTGGACCTGCCCTCCTATGACCCCGACAAGCTGCGGTCGTCCCTGGTCGTCACTCTGCAACAGTTTGTCAGCTTCTTCAAGAAGGACGGGCTAGCTGTCATTGACTCCATTGCTCAGGAAAGTGAGTCCATCTCTCTGTCATTTGTTTTGAGACAAGACGCTTCTTGTGAAATTAAGCTAGCATAAGAAAAATAATCAAGTTCCTTGTGGGTCTCGGGTATTTGTCAAAGTAGAATGAAGATGTGAGACATTAACTAGTCAAGGATACAATCACAGTATCAGTACATAGTCATGTATTTCCTCATACAACACCGGGTGCTGGACAACACGTTTTCAAAACATTGTTTCAATGTTGCATTGTTAGAGATATCCAGGGTTGGACTTTGGTATCGGCCTTTATCCCAAATAGTCAGATGACCGTCTTTCTCTTGGACACATTATATTATCCCTCTCCAGACTTCAACATTATTCCTGAGGATGAGAGTAAAGCATCACCCATGTTTTCTGATTTACAGTTAGCCTGATGGATCGGTTGTGTTCGGGAAACACCGACATGGTCATCAAAGCTGTGTTGACCTTGAAGGAGGACATTCCTTCCCCAACGTGTCTGAAGGTCGTTGGAACACTGCTGATAGCAAATAATCGGGAGATCAACCAGACAGCGAGTAAGTCGATCATCTTGAATCTTAACTCATACTTGCTCCAGATGACTTATATGAATGAGTTGTGTCCCTTTGTCATATCAGGATTTTCTGGTGTTCTTTTCAAATTCCAAATTTGCCCTGTTTTTACCTTTGGTCAGTTAGAGCTATGGCCAGGGGTTCCACCAACAAAATAACCGTCTATTTCTTGATCTGTTGTTTTGTACAATGGCCATGGGTTCTGCCAACAAAGTTTTTTCCCAACTTCAGGCTGGCATCATGATATAAATGAAACACTGTTCCACAGACTGTTGAACCAACTCACTCACTCACTCACTCTTTCCTCTGGAATTAGATGTCTTCTCAGGCTTTGTGATAGAGCTGCCGGGCTGACACAATACAACCACTCACTTTTCAAATTCAAAATTGGTTTGTGAATAATCATTGCAAACTTCGTCACAGTCTTCATTTTCTGTGCCGATGCCATTTTTGGCCTCCCAAGCCAGATATTGCTGGAATATTGCTAAAAACGTATTCATTTTCTGTGCACACTTTTCAGTTACCGGTAATGTTTATTTGAAATTTGAAATAAGTGGTCTTAATAAGTTGTATACATGTAGTACATGTAAGTCCCTGTTTGTTACAGCAACCTATCTGAAGTCTGTCGCGCGGAACAAGGAAGTTCGAGATAAGGTGAGTAGTGGGGGATCACTTGTGTTAAGACTAAAGTAATACCTGACCTTTGCAGAGAGTAAATGAAGCTGTGGTAAAATATCAACACAATGTCTTTTGGATTTGAACACCTTGCTGAGACATGCTGCATTAGGATTACCAGTGCTCCAGACAAGCTGTTTCTGTGTAAAATATGCAAAAATAAGGCTAAAAATAATAAATCTAGATTCTCAGGCACTGCCCGCATCATCATAAAGTCTGCCCCACAGTTCGTTTTAATTTCAATTTTCAATTTTTTCAATGCGATCCAATGTAGCACAACGTTACTTCCCTTTACATGCACACTGCTTTACTGTGCATCTCGTGTTATGGTCATGGCGGCCATAACTGTATAACTTGTTTGTGTAGGGAGACCCTTTCCCGGGTACACAACTGTATATTTGGGTTGTGTTTTTAAATAAATGCCACCGCCCGCCCACCCACCCACACTTTTTTTTCAAAAGTCACTGCCTGAGAAACAATACCTTTATTTTTTTAAGCCTAAAATAACTATCACTCAATTACTTGTTTACATGTCCTAATTGGTTATTGTAGATGACCATGAACTTGATGTTTTCTTGTTTCTATGCTGTAGACATGGTTCTATGCTGTAGATGTCGCTCTATGCTATAGAATTCGCTCTATGGCTGAAACAATGCCAATGTGACTTTTGATCTGAACTTTCACTTTGCTGTCAACTAAACGAAGCACTTGTAAAATGTCAGCAGATGTTCTGTAAATTTTGTGTGTGTTTGACATGTGGATTGTGTGTTTGACACGTGGGTTGTGTGTTTGACATGTGGGTTGTGTTTTTGACATGTGGGTTGTGTGTTTGACATGTGGGTTGTGTGTTTGACATGTGGGTCGTGTGTTTGACATGTGGGTCATGTGTTTGACATGTGGGTCGTGTGTTTGACATGTGGCTTGTGTGTTTCAGGCGATGGTGATTTTCGTGGAGGGTCTGGAGGATCAGATCCCCGATGTCCGAGGGGGCTCTTGCTATGCACTGTCAGTTCTGGAGGTGAGAAGAGGTTTATATCCAACTACATTATACTGCAACGTGGACATGCAGTGTGTGTGGGGGGGGGGGCAGGATTAGAATCAGTTCCCAGCAACCTGTGTTTGTCTTACGAGGCGACAGAATCTATAAGGTGGTGAGAGTCACTGACCTGGTTTACATTGTCATTGTACGGCATGGAACATTGATGTCAATCACTGGTTTGCCTGCTCCAGACCTGATTATTTTCAGACCACTGTCATATAGATGGAATATTGAGTGCAGCATTAAACAACAAAGAAACAAAGAATTCATGCAACAAAACATTTGATAGCCAGACTACAGCAGTGTTGTTGATCATCCAGGCCTCATGTTATTATGAGGGACATTAGTGAATGGAGTTGCGTCCCTTAGCCATGCCAGGATCCACACTTGTGCATTTGTTTCTACATAAAGCTGATGTGTTGTAATATGACTGAACCCTAATTTAGTATATCTTCCCATAAACGGAGGAACAGTGGAGTTGTTAAACTGCTGAGTCATCATGCCTAGGGTCATTATCTGACTTAGGCTGCAATATAGTTAAATGTGCCGTAAAAACATACTCACTCTCTCACAACATTTTGTGACTCGTCCAGCTCTATAATGTATGTATTATATTGACACAGGCGGTGGAAAGTATCGATCAGCTGGTGTTTGTCTGTCAGGCTGATGCGGCCTCCACTGTCCGGAGAAAGGCGAAGGATGCTCTCTTCTCAATGGGTAAGTCGTCCTCTCAAACATTTGGATTATTGCTTCATGTTACATTTTCTCATACCATACCAAAGAAATTCCATGTTAACCCTCAAATATGCCGGGGTAGATTGATGCTGTCACTAGTGACCAATGGTTCGTCCACTCCAGGCTCAGAGGTAATATTCAGGGATGTGTCTTGAAATATTTACTGGCCAGAATAGTGATAACATATAGGGAAACCCCTTAAAAGCCTAATTCTACTAGCCCTCAGGGGGCATGATGGCCCAGCCATCTAAGCCACCGCAATTCACTGTGCAGAGTTGCGTCCCTTAGGGATACCAGAAACCTATGATTGTGGGTCGAATCCTGGTTCACCATGATTATGTTTCCAGGTTTTTAGCACCATACCCGTTGGTTTCACCAAATTTAAATGTCTAAGATATGCATCACTTCGGGCTTACCTCCAACATTAAGCTGACATGCCGTGATATAACTGGAATACCGTTCAAAGCGGCATTAAACCAAACTCACTCACTCAATCACAAATAGCCCTCAGGACAATGTTCGACAACAAGTTGGGGTAGTGCCTGTTTGTATATAATCTCTGAATGTTATTGCTTCTACTTATGAAACGGGGCAGTGGGGTAGCCTAGTGGTTAAAGTGTTCGCTTGCGACACCAAAGACCGGGGTTTGATCCCCCACATAGTTACAATGTGTGAAGCCCATTTCTGGTGTCCCGCACCGTGATATTGCTGTAAGGGGCATAAAACCATACTCACTCACTACTTGAATTTTGCTCCAGGTGACGAGGGTCGACGGGCATTCGAGGAAGCCCAACTCTCTTCCCACGGCTTCCAAGGACTTCAAATGAAGAAGTGAATGATCGTCTGTGTGATGTAATCATCCCATTACCAGTCCTGTGCTTGGAGATCTCCACAGCTAAGGGAGACTACTCCTGCCAAATCTCAACTCAAAGGGAGATAACTTTCGAAGAGACAATCCTGACACAAGTCATTTTCATTCTTTGTACATTTTGTTACCAAGGAGATGAGATTATACAAATGTGTCTGACCACGGTGAACACAGCTCCTGTGTAGAGTGTCGGGAATGAAGGAACCCGTTGGTTTGTGTGTGTGTCCAGTTGTGCCGTGATAACGCGTAAGGCTATCAGCATCTACATCAAATACCACAAAGTCGTAGTTATGACAAGTTACTAACACATGATACACGTACACCACAGGGGCTGTTCAGGAATCAACTTTGTTGCCCCATGAACTGGAACTGTGATCCTGAGAACAGAACAGAATCTATCGACCAGCTTCTCATGCGATGTGCCCCGAGGAAGAGACTCAGAGGCATTGGCACTGTGTGAAGTGTACAGATATCTTAGCATGCTAGAATTCTTTCACAGTGTAGCTTCATCATTCTATAAGAAGACTTTGTTAGCCGTTGCCAAAAGATCCGAATGTGCATCTGTTACTCACTTTTGTGGTCGTAGATTGTGTCATTGCAGTAAGAACAATTTGGATGTCCCGCGCATCCTTGTAGGGCATTGTATTGACTTATACCACCTCATGGTGCATGATATCGCTTCATGATGTAGGATATCATTGTGATCGAAGATATCACTGTTTGATATATGAGTTATCACACAGTACGGTGATGAAAACTGGAAGTGATACTCTCTGTATTATAAGACTGGTCATGTTATGTGCAACCACATTTTTGTTGCGAATAATAGTTTTAAAGGAGTTTTCCCAGCAGTGTCGGTATGTTAATGTGAGGCGATGTTTTCAGAAATTATGCATGTGACCCTTGAAGCAATTGTGGCTTTGTGTAGTACATTATAGAACAGTTTCACACAGCGAGTAATGGTGCTAACAGTTACTGTCTACACAGGCCCCAGACAAGCATAATTTCTGAAAACTCCCATGCGCATTATTCTTTTCATGATTTGTTTTAAGTCAATCAAAATTGTTGCTAGTCAGATAACATATGTTGATCTAAAAGAATGTGAATGCTAATCATTGTTTATATATATATCGTTGGAATGTAAATATGCTACTTGCGCTAACATGGCTAGGCCTGATGTAACCTTGTATATACACTTGTACAGATTTTGTATTTTATATTGTACAATATAAGCATTTTGACCGCAAGTGACAATATGTTGTTGGTTTATTTGTTAACAGTGCTAATAGAGGGAGAAGATAAAGAATACCGTATTTCCTCAGTTAAGAAGCATGTAAACTATGCAGCTTAATGTTTCTCCTAATTACATTTGAATACTAGTGGCAGTTGGGTGTTTGTGGTTAGTGTCACTTGTCATGCCAAAGGTCTATTCGATTCCCCACATTGGCACAATCTCTTAAGCCTATAATTCCTTTGAATACCTTACCTCTATTTATCATAGCCATTTGTTCCTGTTTGGGCTGTAATCACACTATAAAATATTTAGTTTTTTCAACAGACGTCCTCTTATTGCCAACGTATATAATAGTTGTGAGGCAAACCCTATCCTCAGCATTAATGCATTCCGCTTCTTTCCAGTGTATCCCCTGCTGTGATACTGCTGGAATATTGCTAAAAGCAGCTATTATGAAGCACACTCACTTTATACGATAAAGTTTATTCAACTAAACCATCCCTTTTGGTAACAGATATGTAAATATCTGTAGGGCCAGGGTCCAGTCCAAGTGAGTGCTACGACTGTCGTAAGTCTATGTTAAAGTATGAGAGTTACGATCATCTTAGCGCTACGACTGTCTTAAGTCTATGTTAAAGTATGAGAGTTACGATCAACTTAGCGCTACGACTGTCTTAAGTCTATGTTAAAGTATGAGAGTTACGATCATCTTAGCGCTATGACTGTCTTAAGTCTATGTTAAAGTATGAGAGTTACGATCATCTTAGCGCTTACTGTTGTAAGTCTATGTTAAAGTATGAGAGTTAAGATCATCTTAACCTACGACTATCGTAAGTCTATGTTATAGTATGAGAGTTACGATCATCTTAGCGCTACGACTGTTGTAAGTCTATGTTAAAGTATGAGAGTTACGATCATCTCAGCACTACGACTATCGTAAGTCTATGTTAAAGTATGAGAGTTACGATCATCTCAGCACTACGACTGTTGTAAGTCTATGTTAAAGTATGAGAGTTACGATCATCTCAGCCTTCGATCGCTTTTTTTAACAGACCCCTGGACTCGAGTCTAGTAAATTGAAGTTAATAGACCCCGGCTGTTAATGTAGGAAATATGGTATTCACATCCTGATAACTTGTCATGAAACGACTGGTCTAGTCTGTTCTCTCACTGGTTGTTGATACCTTCAGGCCAAGTCTAGTCCAAGTCACAGATTTGTTTCTATTTTTCATGATAATCATCCACATGGGCTGTTCGAATGTTTACCTGTTTGTTTATCATCTAACGACCACCTTGACAAAGGACACCTGCAGCATTCATACAAAAGTATTTGTCAGCTTTCTGGGCTAATCTTGCAGTTACATCTGATATACGAATGTACATTTTAACTTTTTCTTGAATATTTAAAGAAAAAAGCAACCCCAAAATTGTAAAATTATAAATATGATTTCATTTTCTTGTCTGTTTGCTGTTATCAATGAAGATTATTTCATAACATTTGACTTTATGCTGACAGCATTCGTTATGGTGTTAGAAAATATTCTTCCTTAGAGGACATGAGTTGTGTGTTTACAGCAGGCGGGTTACCTCCCCTTGTCTAGTCTAGTGAGTATACCTACTGCTGCAGCAATCCATCCTTACCGTTAGAGGCGACTATTCTTGTTGTAAGAGGCGACTAACGGGATTGGGTGGTCATGCTCGCTGACTTGGTTGATGCATGTCATCGTATCTCAATTGCATGGATTGATGCGCATGATGTCAATCACTGGATTGTCTGTTCCAGATTCGGATTATTTACAGACCGCTGTCATATGGCTGGAATATTGCTGAGTGTGGCGTTAAACAACAAACAAACAAACCTACAACTGCTCCCTCCATTCCACATTGTCTGTTGGTTATTGAATCAATTGGTTATTTATGGCAAGGAGATATAAAAGGACACATTGAAATTTTAGTTTTGTCACCAAATTTGTTTCATACAGAACCTATTCAAACCCTTTGATCTATATTTTGACATAATTGTTTTTAGATTTTCACTTTAAGTCAAGGTCTTTCAATTCTATCAACAGGGGTCTTATTTTCTGTTATTTTCTCGCTATTTACAGTGTGAATTTGATGAACATAGATCTTTACATCATTCCTGATTTAGGCTGCTTTCACCATCTGTTGATCAACATTCCCTTGTCTGTGTGGGACTAACAAATCAGTGTCTGATAGCGATGTGTGATATCAGTGTCTGCTATGTGATATCAATGTCTGATGTGTGATATCAATGCCTGATATCAGTGTCTGATGTGTGATATCAATGTCTGATGTGTGATATCAGTGTCTGATATCAAAGTCTGATATCAATGTCTGATGTGTGATGTCAGTGTCTGATGTCCCATATCAGTGTCTGATGTGTGACTTCAGTGTCTGGTGTATAAAGTGTCATATCAGTATCTGATGTGAGATATCACTGCCGTATCTATGACATGGCACTCTCTGATATGTGTCATCTAATATCTGTTATCGTTATGCAGTATGCATGTTTGGTCAGAATGTTCATGTTATCTTACGTATCTCATGTCCTAGTGGTACAACCACGACTGCTAAACTTTCACTGAAGATTTGTCAGTTTTAGCAACTTGGGGTCTACAGAAAAGTGCCGTGAGATTTGAACACTAGCCTAGATACGAGACGCTGACTTGTTTAAGGGAAGCTGACCCTGATATTGATGTCAGACTGACATGTTTCAGTCACAAAAACAAAATCAGTCAATTATTGCTAGTCAGCTCCTGCATATCAAACACCATAAACAGGAAAGCCCATTCTATTTTTTGTTCTAGTCCAGTACTGCCACTTAGCCTGTTACCCTGGATAATTTTTCACTATTTATTGTCGATAAAGCATAATTCCACTTCCTGTACATTCAGCTCCAAGGATTGATATTTATTGCTGATAACAGCGGAATGTTGCCTGCTGTCTGCTGCTAATGTCACATGATCTGTGAGACTGTTGGGTTGCCCTGCTTCACAGCCGTTGTAGGGCGAACCTCTTGAAAATCTTGTCTTTGACTCCGATACAATATCTCTCTGCATCAAGGTCTGAGGTCGACCCATCGAAGGTTGCATCAGTTGAACTGAGAGAACTTTGATTGCCAGTCTTAAATGCTTCTGTTGAAGTAAAGTGATCATCAGTTTTATCACCACTCGAATTTTGATTTGTATTAATGAAAGTAGACACAGAATAGATAATCCTTCAATGGTACTCCTTTTTGGTTCCAGTTGCCACAGCACTAAGAAATGGCAATTTCTACTTTGAGATACATAAATCAGATATGCTGGTGTGAATGCTTCACAGACTGGTACGGAGAGTTCAGTACCAGTGATGCTGATCTCAAAGTTCACCTGACACATCCTCCTATGGAGGTGACCCGTGAAGATCCAGGTTTGAATAGGTCTTCAGCAACCCATGCTTGCCGTAAAAGGCGACTAACGAGATCGGGTGGTCAGACTTGGTATCCCAATTGCATAGATTGATGCTCATGATGTCAATCACTGGATTGTCTGGTCCAGACTCCATTATTTCGAGACCACCGTCATGAGCTGGAATATTGCTGAGTGTGGCATTGAACAACAAACAAAACAAAACTTACGAAGGTGTCCTCAGATCCCCGTTCAGGGAGGTATCGTATCGGAGTAAAAGGTCAGGCTTTAGTGAGATCATTGCATGGCTGAAGAATTGTGAATAGTTTGTGTTTGACATGTTAAGTTTATTTTGTTTGTATGAGCACAGTTACTGTTTCAATGTTTCATGTATATTACTACACAACGGTTCCCAGTGTCTTTATGGAATAAATCATATATACCACGTGTCACATTGGACAGGCTGTAGCATGCTTTCCATGAGTGAAGAGCTGTCAGTTTTTAAACATTACCGTTTCTTGTCGTTCTAATGTAAGGGGAGGGTGGGTAGCCGCATGGTTAAGGTGTTTGACCCAGCTGAAGAACCAGGTTCGAATCCCAGTGTTAGAATTATGTATGAACATGTGCACATGTTATAACCCTAAAAGATAAGAATTTAGGGTTCTTGGATTCAAATACGAACAGCAAACCTGAATGACATCAGAACCCCACCTTATTTCAAACACTTGACATGGGTATATTATTTGACGTTTGTGTGGTTATTTTCACCTTGATATTGCGGAATTTGGCTGAAGCGGCATAAGTCCCTCGCTATCAAAACATGATCAAAACTTTTGACAAAGTGAAAGATTGAGATTGTTAAATGTTTGAGAAGATAAGTGATCACGATTTCATAGGAAAAGTGATCTAGAGTTTAGTTATGGGCAATTACAAGGCATTCTATTTGAGATTGTTTGAATTCTGGGAAGAATGTATTTGTTAACCTGCCCACATCATATTAAGAAATATCTTGTTGCACATTGATTCCATTGTATATCCGCTAGTAATGTGTTATGACATGTATATTTCCAGTCTGGCCATGTGTTACCGTGTATATTTCCTGGTGCATGTATATTACACATGTATATTTCACAGTTGATGTGTCAACAGGCATCTGTGAATGATGAGCATCCTCAGCCAACAGTCTGCTAGTCACATACCCTAATATGGGCATGCATTTGTACTCCTGTGTAAATAAACTGTCAATCTTTGAAATGGACAAGATGGTTGTGTTATGTTGTCAACCATCCTCGATGTTCCAGGGTATCCTCTCTCCATTGTATTATACTATACTCGTATACCCTAGATCCAGTCACAGCCATAGATTTGTTTTGGGTTTGACGTCACCAGCTCCAACATCTCCAGCTTCATCTCTCATCACTAACTTAGGATAGTATTTCCCATGACCTTGAATTCAACAACCAATCACAACACTTCTTCTGAATGGCGCACATATCCACATTCAAAATGAAGGTTGGTTGGTTGGTTTGTTGTTTAACGCCACACTCAATATTCCAGCTATATGACGGCGGTCTGTAAATAATCGAGTCTGGACCAGACAATCCAGTGATTAA